CAGCTTTCATTTTACGAGGACATACACAAGTCATTACCCGCTAATGTGCACGCGTTCTTTTATTAGTCACAGACACAGAGGCAAATAGAATTACAGGGGGCGCCGGGGAGGGCCATACTCCGAGACAATGATAACAGTACAGAATTTTTTATTCACGATTAGCTGATTACTGTAATTATAAAGGTCATTTTGTTAAACGTCTTGTATAATAAAAATTAAGTTTTGAATTCACGCCACAAACATTTTACATTTGGTCGACACACGGCATGATGGATGATATCATTTTCCAGCAATAACAAACTTCACACATAACGACAACTGACACCAATATGAGTTACATAAGAGTTTTAGAGGCGGTATACTCAGTTACATCTACTCAAGTACATTTGCTTGACTTACTTTTGAATAAATTTGTACTTCTGGGAGTAGTTTTCTAACACCTTTTTTACTCCTATTTAAGTAGAATTAAAAATATGAGGATTTTACAGTGTAACAGTAGTCCAGCTACTTGAGTACAATTTCTGACTACACTACCCCCCTTCAAATACTTTAAGATAGATGTAGAACAGGGGTCTCCAGAGAGCTACTAATTTTAGAGGTTGCAAGAAATTGAGAAAGTATAAGAGCCGTGGCAAGCTTTAGACAGGGTAAAGTTAGATGCCTTTTATACATAAAACATTATCCATTTATTAGTGCACAAGTTAGGAATCTAAATGACACATCTACAATGGTGATTACTCACATTTTAGTTATTTAGCACAATACATATAATTCAGAAATTCTTTGGTGAGTTACTTGGAAAAAAGTGGAGAGCTACTGGTTGGAGACTCCTGATGTAGAATATATTAAGTTGAATATATGGCAGTTTTGGCTATAGAAAAAAAACATCATTGCTTTGGGGGGTCATATCAGCTCATCAAAGCCTGATCTTGTCTGATCTCAAAAGCTCAGGAGGATAGGCTCTGCTCACGCTTACGTCACAAACCAGGAAGACATTTGGAAACATGTGATGACAACTTCTGGTGTAGTTCCCGACACTGGGCTCACCGACCGACTGTGATAAAACCCACTGAAGTAAATGTGATCAGTGGTAAAATGAAGACTGTATACGTACGTGCTGTTTGGAATCATCTTCAGGGTTCCCACTTTTTCACTGACAAAATTTTAAAAATTTTCCATGACTTTTTCATGACCTAAAGTGAATTTACCATGACTTTACGGCACCAACATGTGTAGAATTGATCAGACTTTTAGGGTTAAATATGAAATGTTGACCCTTTCCACTCACCTTATGGTTTGGCTTTCAACATTCAAAATACTGTCAGTGCAGTTTATGTGTCAGTTTTAGTGTTTTGGTGTTAGTTTGTTGTCATCTCTTTTAAACAAAAGTCACATACGTTCGGAAATAATCATAATAGCTTCATAATAGCTTAACAGAACGCTGAAGTTGCGTGTAAGAGCCTGGCCTGGAAAATTACACTTTCAATTTCAACGACTTTTCCAGGATTTCCAAGAACCCTGAATCTTGAATTTGGCGCCTCTCTTCTAATCTCTTCTAACTGCATGTACCCAGTGCGCTCAGAGTTATGAAAACTGAGGTATGGTTGGAATTGTTGATTAGCCGAACATAATGGAACTCTACAGTGACATGTAGATGAAGAAAACTGGGACATTTTCTCGATTTTCGCAGATTTTGTGAGATTTACTACCGCGAACAAAGCCCACCGGAAGTTGTAATCGCATGTTTCCAGACGTCTTCCCGGTTTGTGACGTAAGCGTGAATAGAGACAATTGAGCTTGCTCAATACTTGGATAGGAGGCTCTATAGTGCATTCTACTGTTGCGTCCTTAGGCAAGACACTTCACCCAAATTGTCTGGTATGAATTATTTTTTGTATAACCAGGCTGAGTAACATGCAAAATCAAAGAATCCATTTTGCTATGTAAATTTATGTTCCTTAAAATCTTCACACAAGTAATAGGTGACACTTATGGGACCAGAAATATCACCTTAGACTATTTCATAAAAAAATACTCTCTCTTAGGCAAGACATGTCACCTAGACCTTACATGTCAACATAGTTAAACAATAGTGATAAGAGAATATCTATAGCTGCCAATGTTAAACAAAGGCAATATGTGTTTCCATTGACAAAGAAGTCCTACTATATTTACTGCAATGAATCCGAAGTGCTTCTGTTTCAGGCCCAGCTCCTGTCCCATCATGTGACCAGTCATGTTGCTATTATTTTGAACCAGCTCCTCTCATAACCTCAGCTCTGTGGAGAGGCTGCTGGATTTCACTCCCTGCTCTCCGCCCGGTCAGGAGGTCACTAATGGGAAAAAATCTGTCATAGAACGGCGGGCTCCAAAAGTCAACAACGCATTCACTTTCCAACAACTCACAAAGTCATCCCGGAGAACTGTCGATATATATTTATTTATTACACTGTATTTCAATAGACAATAGCCGTTTTTCTCCGTGAGTGCATTCAGAGAGCAGAGGGGGTATCTGAGGACCCGCTAGTGTTATTAAAGCCTCTGAAATACTCATTAGTGACAACCATGACACCAGACTGCAAAAACACAGTGCGTTTTCAAAGTTCAATTTAGACTTGGTATTTGGGAAGTACAACTTTTGTCCTTTCTGCTGTAATGGCATTCACGGTAAATGAGAGGTGTTTGTCAAAATAACATCCGTATTTTTGAATCGAATATTAATCTGTGCCTAGGTCCATTCTGAGAAAATGTTTTGTGAAAGCGGAAACAAACATAAAATCTTGTTGAATTTAATGGTAGCAACACAAGTATACAAAAAGACCAATTTTACTGTTAAAGGGCCTAGATTACGCTATTTTCTGATCTTCATTCACACATGTTTGACATATAAGCCCTGCATATTTAAATTGAGTTCTTCTCTCAAACAGAAAACACTCTGTTCCACCTTGTGATATCATGTGGTAATACAAGAAGTGCTCCACTCTTTTTTAAACTCCATACACCTTCACTAGAATCATTTGGATAATTTCAATCCATCCATCTTCTTCCGCTTATCCGGGGCTGGGTCGCAGGGGCAGCAGTCTAAGCAGGGACTCCCAGACTTCCTTCGCCCCAGACACGTTCTCCAGCTCCTCCAGGGGGACCCTGAGGCGTTCCCAGGCCAGCCGAGAGACATAGTCCCTCCAGTGTGTCCTGGGTCTTCCCCGGGGCCTCCTCCTCCCTCATCACATTTACCTCAGCTGACTCCTCTCGACGTGGAGGAGCAGCGGCTCTACTCCATGCTCCTCCTGTGTGACTGAACTCCTCACCCGATCTCTAAGGGAGCGTCCAGCCACCCTGCGAAGGAAACTCATTTCGAGCGCTTGTATCCGCCATCTTGTTCTTTCGGTCATTACCCAGAGCTCATGACCATAGGTGAGAGTAGGAACGAAGATTGTCTGGTAAATTGAAAGATTCACCTTTTGACTCAGCTCCCTTTTCACCACAATGGTCCAATACAGCGATTAATAATAATAATATGGATAATTTCCTGCCTTGTAATTTCCAATCTCTACTGAAAAAGTAAAAGGTAGCTGTTTTGTTTTGTTTTGGAGATACAGACAGACTAATAATGCACGGTTACTCAAACATGTGTGAATGAAACACAACACAACTAAGCTTACAAAAGTCAATTTTGAATAATAAAGGCTCTTTAAGAAGTTAATATGGCTCTTTTCCAACTTTGAGATATGTTCCTGCAATTAAAATGTAACAAGTAATATCTTTCGTTGGCAATCATAATACAAGTTTATTAAATAGTGTATATTTTTTGTATTTTTGGACACTTAAAAGTTGGCTTTGCTCCCAGGCTTTGCCAGCTACTGCCAATTATACAAAACATACTGCTTTATTTAGATACAGAACAGTTGCTTTACATTGCACTTACCTATTATTTTAAATAACAATAGTCACAGCTGCCTTGGGGCAAAGTGACAAAAAGGTGACTGCCATTCAACGCCAAAGCTTCTCTTATTACACCAATCATATGTTCAAATTAATGCGAGGCAGGTTAAGTGTCTTGCCCAAGGATTCATCCGGCTATCTTTTACTTTTTTCAGTAGAAATTGGTAATTCCAGAGCTATAATTGATTGATTCTAGTGGAGGTATATATAGCACAGTGGAGTACTTCCTGTATCACCACATGACATCAGATGGTGGAACGGTGTGTTTTCAGTGTGGGAGAAGAACACAGCCTAATGTTTGTGTGTTAAACATGTGTGAATGAAAACAAAACACAACTCCAGGTATGTTTGAAATGACGAATCATTATAACATAGATCAGAAAATAGCGTGAAAAAGGCCCTTTAAACTGCTAATTCTACCATAAAACCATAAAACATGCTGATCAGATATTTTATGTTGTCCCAAGAGTCAAAAAACAAATAGGAAAACACTCATTTAAATATAAAGCTCCTTCTGATTGGATCTTCCCTCACCAATTCGTGCATTAACTTCTGTCCCTTCATTTAAAAACGCTCTGATTCAATATTTAAAGAACCCATGTAATACTTTTTTGATAATTTTGTTGAATTTTGTTGTTCATCTTGTTGTTTTTTGTGATTATCTTTGAACTCTTTTGTTTTATTATGTGTCAAACAGTCAAGTGCGAGTGAGCGTGTGTGCATGTGTGTGCTGATTTTGTTGTTTTGATGCTTATTTGAATTTATGTAGTTTACTGTCTGCCCTTCTGTATCTTTCTTTTGTCGTTGTATTTATGATGACCCTCTCGAAAACAAGACATCTCAAGGGGCTTATCCTCCAAACAAATAAATTCAAATTCAAATTCAAAAACTGTAGGTGTTCGAGAATATCATGATTTGAACAGAATCTTTTGATATGTTCCAATGATGAATGAGCCTAAACTGTGTGTACTTGAACTTCGAGCTCCTCTCCCCTCTCTAGTATCTGATTTTCCCCAGCGCAATGCATCCTCCAGCCCCGCAGGTGGCGCTGTCCTTACCCTGAGCCCGTCCATAAAGGTCTGTCCGTCGCTGGCTCTCCTCCAGGACACCTCGGGCAGCGGCTCCCCCTCGGCCACACAGGAGATCATGGCGGCGCTGCCCTCCACCGCTGTCACGTTCTTGAGCTGCAGGATGTGGGGCTGAACTGGACACAGAAAAGAGGAAAGAGAAAGAAGTGAGACGGGGAGCAAAAAAATCCACAGGGTTCAGAAGGAGGAAAATTAGGACAGTTGCGCAGTGTAATGAACAGTTATCTTTTGAATAGTGAAAAGTCCTTGAAATGTTGCAGATAATAATAAAGCCACAAACTTTTTCATAATATAGAAATCGAGTTGGACATAACTTAAAATGATTAGTAAAACCATTTGTTGTGAGCTTTCATACATTCATAGAGATGCATTAGCCAAAACAATATCATGTAATAATAATAAGCTACTGGGTCATTACTGTTAGAATAGTTTTGAATGAACCCTAGTTTAATATTTGCCTTCTTAAAATCTCCATGGGTTATTATTGGCTTAACTGAAAATTCTTTGAGGTAAAATGAGTCTCTTCCTATCTCTATCTCTCCATCTCTAAAAGTAAAGTCAAGTAAAGTAAAATATTAATGTGTGGACAGAAATGTTACAGCTCACTACAAGTATATTTACCCACTCGTACTCATACAGCAGGACAACTTGGAAATGTTCTCTACTCACTTCACTCAATAAGAGCCGTATGATCTCAAATGCGAAGTTTAAGAATTTCAACTGACTTTGTACTGACCTATTACAAATACACTGTCATTCATTTTTGTATAAATACACTGAAAAATTCAGGCTACGTTTATATGATGATGGTCTGAACAGAAGACGCAAAAGTGGCGTCGAGTCTTCACTTTATATTCTGTGTTTAGACGAGGGTTTTTGGAAGGAAATCTGCGTGCATATGATAACGCAAAAGTGTGTGGAATTTGATTGGGTATGCATGCCATCCGACATGTTTCTGTGTACTGTATGTATGTGGCTTAAATGCATACACGATGTGAGCAGATCTTATCAGAGTTTTGCGTCTACAGTGGAGAATATTCAGCTTTTCCACTCTGGAGGGTGCTTTCAGATTTTTGCATTTTTCGGTCCCAAAAACACCATCTAAACAAAAGGCACTTACGATAAAATATTTTGTCGTTTTTACCCACAAGCGTTCTCATATAAACAGGCTCTTATAATATCACTAGGGGTGTGTAAAAATATCACTATATCATATCGTTTAATGTGATGATACAGTATCGATATCGGGGGGCTCCTGTATTGATATGTGGTCAAGAATATTTTTGGGGTTATTTTGCTAAATTATTTTGTTACAGCGCTACAGTTTTGTTGCTTGTTTAGTGGAAGGAAACTCATTTATGCAACACATTTGACATTTTCACTGTTTTGATGAATAAAATGTTTGTGTTTCTTATTAACTTTGCACAAGAAGTGGTTTAACAAAGACTTTGAGCATCACAGCCATGATTTAGCCATAATGTTTTATTGAACTGTATCAGAATTATTTGAAATATATGTCATATTGAATCAAAAGCTCACTGTATCGAGGTATGTATCGTATCGGCAACTTCTTAATGATACCCAGCCCTAAAAATTACATTATCCAATCAGAATTATCACAATATGTTTCATGTTTCTTAAAAACTTAATATAAGCACAGTGACACTTTTGGGAGCCGAATAAGCACCTTACACTTACTGTGTGGGTATTTTATAGTTTTTTCTTTATTTTTCATTTGAAGCCAAACTTCTCCTTAAATAAACCTTCTCTTTTTGTCTTGAATAAATATAGATTTTGGAGATGAGCTTTGTGCCGTTGTACAGTGCGATAAGTACCGGGTGGAGGTTTGGCTGCAGATAAGATGCCCCATAAGGCCGTGCATGTGGCGCCACAGAGCGTCACGTATAATTCATGGTTTGCTGTTTTTCGCACTCCTTTGCACACCGCTCTTAAGCCCCTAACTGGAGGATTGCAAAGTAGTGTAGTGGAAAATCCAAAAAGCAGAAAGAAGAGGTGAATTGAAAATGGGGTCTACTGCAGGGTTAGAAAGACAGAGAGAGAAAGAGAGTGAAAGAAAGAGAAAGAAAGAGAGAGAGAGAGAGGCCCGGGTCTCCGAGGAAACAGCTAAGGTCACAAAAATGTACATAGACATATAAATATATTCATTGTTGCCTCTGAATGATTCTCAGTAGTAAAGTAAAAGTACTGTAAAAGTAAGCAGAAGTATCGTTAAGGTGAGACTATATAACTTTTCTGGAGGTGGGTCTGCTGCCTGCTCGTCTCCATGGAGATGTTATGGCTTGGCCTAGAGTGTTCCACAGTACAGCATTAAAGTGATCTCTGTGGGACAAGAAGTTGACACCACCAAGCCAAGTCACACATCGGGTCTGTGGAGAGGTGAGCCTTCTCAATGCTGAAATCCATGTTTCTAAGCAATAATCAAATAAATGTAAGATAGATACAGTATGTGTAATACCATACTGTGGAATATTTCAGGGAAAGCAATATCATCTCAAACTGGCTACAACATTCACAATTACATCTTAATATTTCAAAGTCAGTTGGTATGTTTTCTCAAAAACAAAAAAAAAATTGACATGGATACAGACTCAGATGTACGCGTGCTTGGATCAAAACTGAAACTGGTCCATGAAGTGAAGTATCTGGGAGTCACTTTGGACCCACAAATATCGTTCAAACAATATGTCAAAAGAACAGTGAATAAAAACAAAGATAATTCATCAAATTTTCATCTTAAAAAATAGTCTAACAGCAAATCCGGCAATTATGTATTTCAATTCAATGATTTTGCTGCACCTAAATTATTACATAGCATTACTAGTTGGACTCTGACAAGAAAAACTACTTTAAATGACTTGAAACTATCAATAAAAAAGCACTTAAGGTATTAGATAAAAAGCCCACTAATTATCACTATTGCAGAATAATTGATGACTACAATTTTTTTAATTGAGACAACACAATCAAATGTGCAGATTTAATTCTGGTATACAAAGATTTTAATAATCTTGCTCCACTTCCTCTAAAAGAGTTTGTGAAAAGAAATTCAAATCGCACAACAAGAGCAGCTCTAGAGGTGACTGCTCTGTGCTGTTTAGGAAAAGTGCTTTTGGACAGACAGGTCAAACATGGAATACAGAGCTGCTCATATACGAGGACTTTCAACACTGGCAGCATTTTCTAAAGCTTTAAAACAGTGGTTGTTCAATGGCCAAATATGTCTAGTCAGGCTGGCTCCACCTAATGCCTCTGCTCAATTTCATTTCCCTCCAGCAACTAGGTCAGAAATCAGAATCTACTAGACGGTTTGCAAGAACCCCGGAAGTGCAAGTTCGGGCACCAGTCAATCAGCGAAGAGACATCCATTCTGTGTTGCCAACAATTCCCGAGATCGAGGATTTAAAGCCGGAACAAAGAGAATGTTTAATGAATTTTATCAAGTGGAAAGAAATTATTGCTCTTCTTCCTATGGGATTTGGAAAAGTTTAATATAGCAGTTATTCCCATTAGTGGCGCATTACATACATCACGACCAAATAGCAGCGCAACTGGTAAAATAAAAAAAGTACCCGCCTACCATAGAGCGAACAAATCCTAATGCAGGCCAAAATATGTCACCATGTTAAACAAAATTATATATATTTTTATATATTGAGGGGTTGTTGGTTTAACTCTTGACTTCAAACTTCAAAGGAACTGTATAAAATGAACTATATGTATAGTGAGTGTACAGGGAGTGTGTTGTGTGTATAGTGAGTGTGCTGGTGTTATGTACATTTGTGTGATTGTTGCTGTATATTTCTCTGTCCTGTAGATGATTTCACCTCAACCTCCCGAGGGACTGAAGATGGAAATTAGCCAAGCTGGCTATAATCTTTATGTTCTGTCCCTTTACAAAAAAAATAAAATAAAAATCTCCACACTTGGGGCTAGTGGATTCATCTGCTTGTCTCCATGGAGATAGACAAGTTCAATACCATACTGTGGAACACAACAAGCAAAACAATAACATCTCTAACTACCAGAAAAATTATATAATCCGCGTTAAAATGTAAAAATAACCAACCAATTTTCCCTCTCTACAAAATGACCTTTGGAAAATTGCTACACCAACCACTATTTTTCAAAACTAAGAGATAAACCTGTGTCTGCACCTTTCACACATTAAGAAACAGAAGTTATAATTTTGTAATAAGCCTCATATCTAGATTCTTATGTCCAATCAGCTGAGGTTGTGGCCCCGCCCCCTCTCACCCTCATAACATTCTTCATCAGCGTCTTATCTCTGGCCGCCCTGCCCTCCTCTTCCTCATCGTGGTAATATTAAACAGAACGCATCTCATTTATCAAACACGCTGAGAAAAAAACCCACCACTCTGCACCCGAGATTATTAAAAACACATTATCCCAAACATTTAGAATCCCAAATGAGAGGAAGGACAAAGTGGAGAGATACCATCGTGAATTCATTTGACCTTCCAGGATGGAGCTGGAACGCTGCTTTGAGTCTAATATTACTCAACGTTCAGATTTGAATTTAAATGTTAGTGGTATGACCTAACCTCTCCCATGATCATACTAATAACAGGATAATTTGAAATCTAAAAACAACGTCAGAAACCTTGTAGTGCAATTTTAAGAGAGCTATTAACAAAAATGGTGAGGCAACAAACGAATGTGACTTTTCTCCTACTTGTCGTCATGGAGATGGTATTGCTTTGCTTTGTTCTGCTGTACGGCATTAAAATTGTGGTACGATGATTAAGTGGAAGATTAGAAGGTTCGATTCACATGTGCAAAGGGCAAACAAAACATCCATCGTAGGTCAAATCCTCTAAAACACCTTATTCGTTACTTAAAGGTTCATTGGGTAACTTTTCTGATGGAGGCTACTTTTCTCCATGGAGATGTTATTGCTTTGTCCTTTTTATCTTCATAGAGACCAAACTAGACCAAGTTACAGGTCAGATCTGTGGTGAGTAGGGATGTAACGATATCCAAATCTCACGGTACGATATTATCACGATATGCATCTCACGTTACGATATTTATTGCGATATAAGTGTCGATAGGAAACTTTTTTGCTTTTAAAATA